AACTTGGGTCCTTGTGCTTGCAAGGCAGGTGGCAGAAACCACTGAGCTAAACCCCTGGCTCATAGACATATTTTAAGTTGCTCAAAAAAGGCTTAATTTTGTTAAAAGGGAAGGAGAGAAAGACAGGGTCTTTCTAGGGTCCTTTTCTTTTCTTTTTTTCTTTTTTTTGGCTTTTTGAGACAGGGTCTCACTATGTAGTTGAGACTGACCTGGAACTCAGTATGCAGCCCAGGCTGGTCTCAACTCACAGAGATCCTCCTGCCTCAGCCTCCCGAGTGCTGGGATTACAGGTGTGCGCCACCACGCCCGGCTCACTTTTCTAATTATACCTTTTCTTATTTGAAAAGTGATTTGAGACACATGAAGATTACGTTGTACACAAAGATTAATGAGGGCATCAGAATTAGAGGAAAGCACAAGCAGGCAAATGAAGCCAGGGTCCTGTTAGCACACAAAAACACACCGCGAAGATCAGTAGAAACGGAGGTGAAACTTTTCCTTTGTATCTCTTAGCAACTGAAGAAAAAAAGGGAAACAAGATCCATTAGAAAATTCCTGGACTCCACAAAGGAAACAAAATCCATTAGAGAATTCTCAGAATCCCAAGACAGAAGTGAATCGGTTGTTCGTTGTCGATGCAGCTTTGCCTGGTGCTGTCGGAACCTTGTGAAATCAGACAAAATTCTAAGAACGTTCCAAACTCTTGGGTTCCACAAGATATTTTTTCCCCTCCGAGAACTGGGGATTCAGCCAGGGACTTGCACATGCTGGCCACTAAGCTACATGCCCAGTTCCTCCAAAAGACGGTCTCTTAGCAGCATCTGTATTCATCTCTTTGGGCTGTGAGAACAAAGCATCACAGACTGGCTGATTTATTTATTTATTGCCTGTTTTTCTTTTTTTTCCTCATTGAGTTTATTGGTACATTTTAGGTATACAGCACAGTGACATTCATCGTTGGGATCTTGTACCTTTACAGGACAGGTCTCGGTTCTCATTTTCTTCCCCTTTCCCCTGCCCTCCCTTCACCCCCTCCTCCCTTCAGACTGGCTGATTTAAACAGCAGAAATTGATTGTTCTCAGTTCTGGAGAACGGAAGTCTACGACCCAGGCAGGGGCCGACAGGTTCAGCTTCTCCTGAGGCCTCTCCTTGGCTTGCAGATGGCCGTGTCTCCCCGTGAGACACCTCACACTGTCCTCCCTCCGTATGTGGGCACCCTGGTGTCTCCAGATCTCTCAGGAAGACACAAATCAGATGAGAGGGGAACCTACCCTACTGGTCTCATTTTTAATTAATCACCTCCCTACAGGCCTGGTCTCCAAATAGAGTCTCATTCTGCTATCCTAGCTAGCAGTTAGGGCTTCAATATATGAAATTGAGTGGGGAAGTGGGAACAAAATTCAGCCCATAACTGTGTCCCTCAGTGGGGTCCAAAAGCTTCACTTGGTTAACACAATTCCATGAGCGATAATAGCAAGGTGATCCAAAAACAGAAAGAAAAAAAAAGTTTTTTTTAAATTTAGTTTTGTGAGACAGAGTCTTGCTATGCAGGCCGGGCTAGCTGTGGTTTCATTATATAGCAGGCTGACCTCACACTCGTGGCAATCCTCCTGCCTCAGCCTCCTGAGTGGTGGGATTACAGGTGTGTGCCACCATTCCCAGTTTAAAAACAAAACAAAATAGAGATTTTTGGAGCTCTTTCTTGGTCCAAAGATAAGGAGATTTAGAGTAACATAATACACAGTGTATTCGTGATCTATGAACATTTTAACTTTCAGGGGCCTGATCTAGACTCTGAGATCCTACTTTGCTTGAGTAATATCTCAGTGCCCACTAGTACACATATACGTTAGATAAGGTCCAAGATTGAAGGTGTCAACTGCGTGGGTTAAGAGCTACCCCTAATGTAAAAGGGGCAGAAGAAATAAGACTGTTTTTTGTTTTTTTTGAGACAGGGTCTTGCTGTGCTGTTCAAGTTGGCTTTGAATTTACTATGGAGCAGACTAGCCTCAAACTCAGTGATCTTCCTGCCTCAGCCTCCCGAGAGCTGGGTTTACAGGAGTGTGCCACCACATCAAGCAAGGCATTATTTTTATATTTGCCTGTGTGTTCTTAGAGAAACTGGCTAGAAGGATACACAAGAAACTAAAACCAGCTGAGCCTTGTGGCACACACCTGTAATCCGAGCACTGTGGGATGCTAAGGCAGGAGGGTTGGAAGTTCGAGCCCAGCCTAGGCAACTTAGTGATTTAATGAGACGCTGTCTCAAAATAGAAAAGGGCTGGGATGTAGTTTAGTGTGAAGGCCCTAGATTCTGTCTCATTTATTTCACTGAAGCGTATAGCCTCCATGAGGACTTTGGCAACTCTTTTTGTTTTGTTTTGTTTTTTGTTTTTTTGAGACAGGGGCTCACTAGGTTGTTGAGATTGACCTGGAACTCACTATGTAGCCCAGGCTGGTCTCAAACTCACAGCGATCCTCCTGCCTCAGCCTCCCGAGTGCTGGGATTCTATCTCTAGTAAAACAAACAAATAAATAAATAAAACACCTGAGAGCACCTGATCTTAAAGTTATGGCTTTAGTTGCATTTTCCCAAACCTGACTTTCACATACATATCTGTTCTTCTTCGTCAGATATAGATCATGAGATGTTTGAGGTTGTTTTTCTGAGATAAATGTGGAGAGTAAATATTTTACCATGATGATTAAGCTTAGATCCTTGTTCCTGGGTGGGGGGATCCTGCGGGGAGAGCTGAGGTAACCCGAGATATAGGAGTAGAACTGGGACCCCAGGTGGGCTGTAGAAGAACCTGTAGGCAGGACCAAGAGAATCCTAAAAAAAAAAAAAAAAAAAAAAAAAAAAAAAAAAAAAAAAAAAAGACCTGTCCGGGTCTATTCTGAAACTTGAACCAAAGTTCTGACGAATGAGCACGGTCCAATCTCTAGACTGGAAATTTTTTCGATAGCGGCCTATCAGCAGCCAGCTGACAGAGAGGGAGGGGTGGGAAGGGAATGTAGCCAGAGAACTGTGTTAAGCAGGCCGTCTTCCCATCAGCACCCCGCTGTAAGTTAGTCTCCACAAGCGACCTCTAGAGAGCCGAATCCTCCCACTCGCCTGCGTTTGCAGGGTCTAAGCCATTCCAGAGCGGAAGGACATCGGCCGGAAATGAAGTGTTTGTCTGGATGGCCCAGACCCTGGTTTCTGTGGGGGGGCTGTGTGCACAGGGTCTGGCCTGTGGTCCTGCTTCTTAGTAGCTGGTGGGGGAATTGGTTTCCGCCTGGTGATGCCTCCCAGGCCCTCAGACAGAAAACACCAGGGAGGAGCAGCACGGAGCTTTCATTGTTTTTAATCTAAAGACATCTTTTTTTCCCCCAGTAACTTTAAAGCCTGGCATTTCTCAATACCTGTGTGTGTGTGTGTGTGTGTGTGTGTGTGTGTGTGTGTGTGTGTGTGTTGGGAATGGAGCCAAGCCTCACACATGCTAAGCAAGTACTCTATCGCTGGGCCATACACCCAGTCTTCAATACACATGAAAGGTTTTAAAATTGTTTAATAGCTGGTTGAGATTGTTTTTGTTTTTTGGGGTACCAGGTATCGAACTCAGGACCTTGTGCTTACAAGGCAGGCAGTGGCACCAATGAGCTAAATCCCTGGCCCTGGTTGAGATTTTTAAGAACTTCTAATTTATAAATTCACAACTTGACTGTTTTTACTTTTTAAAAAAGTCTACAAACTGCCAGCGCCTATTAATAAAGCTCTTAAATTTAAAAGCTTTGGAAGGAAGGGAGAAACAGAGAGAGAGAGAGAGACAGAAAGAGGAGGAAGATGGAAGCCCATGCTGCTATTTCAGT